AGAAAACCGATTGTGAGGAGTGACGTTGTTCGGTGAGCGTTGAAAACCGACACTGTGTGGTTGTAAACGTTATTCGGGTGAGCGTAGAAAACCCGGTCGTGATAGTGGATTTCTCCCCGGGAGTGGGGAGCGGAGACGTAGGATGGAAGGTCCGAACTCCGTGATCATATTGCTTGTTTGAGTGTGCTTTGGCGTTCATTCATATTTCTGTTCATATCTTATATCGCCATTGTCATTAGCTCATTATCTATATCATCCACTATCTTGTTTAGATTATTTACCCTTGTGTTGTTTATATATCCTTGCATATATTTTATCATATAGGATATATCTCATTGTTTACATTGCTTATCCTAGCTCATATATCTTGTGATATTTCATACTTGCTAGGATAACTTGTTAATTAGTTTTTAATTGACATTTAATCGGATTAGATTAGCATAAGACCCTAATCACCCCCCCTCTAGGGTCTAACAGCGATGATATTTTCTAGAGGAGATGAGGCGACAGAGGGAGGAGTTAAGATTGAGTAGCTGAGGAAGGAATTAAGTGCTGGCTGGATGAAGAGATGAAGTACAAAATAAGCTTTTGTATTTCATACTCCCTTTAAAAGTACGAGTTCGAAAAAATCTTTTTATAACCAATATTACCCTTAGATTTTTTAAATATTATATTATTATCCTAATCTATTCTAATTATCTTATCTTTTTTAAATTGGTAACAAAATAATTTATTCTATTTATAATGAGACTTAACATGTTATTGGATAAAATAGATACGTTTCATATAATTCAAATTATTTACTTATTTCAGTTCATAAAGAAATCTAAAAGACATATGCTAGCCAGCACCTAAAAGCTTTTAGACTTTCTAAAAAATATTCTCCAAATTTTTTAAATTACAAAAATGCCCCTATAAATTTAAAATTTTATTAAAGCATCTTAAAAATTATAAATTTTACTTATCTCAATTCAGTGAGAAATCTAAAAAATATATGCTAATGAGAAAATGAAAGTTTTTTGACTTTGGAGAAAATATCTTGTAAGGTTTAGAAATTACAAAAACACACCTAAAAATTTAAAATTTATAAAAAACACCTTGAAAATGTCAAACTTATAAACATACTAAAACCTACAAATAACACAAATAACCCCTAAAAATTTATAGAATTTACAATACACACTCTGAACTTTTTACAAATTACAAAATAAAATCCTCAAAATTGTAAAATTTACAAAAACTCTGATAATTTCTGACCTAACAATACATTAAAAACATAGGAATTATAAATATTCCTCACATAATTAATAAAAAAATACCCTTAAAGTTTTAAAAGTTACAAACATACGTTTAAATTCAAAATTTATAAAAAAACACACTAAAAATTTCAAATTCATTAGTAAATTGAAAGCATAGGAAGTATTAATAGTCTATAAACAATTTACAATCTGTAGAAAATACCTATAAGTTTAAAAAATTACAAAAATCCTTAAAATTTATAATTTACAAAAAAGCTCCATGAGAATTTCTAACCTATAGACACTAAATTAAATATGTAAAATACTAACAACCCCTAGAAAATTAAAATTTTGCAAAAATTATCATACACTTTAAAAGTATAGATTTAGGAAAAACTTTTCATGGTAAATATTACTCATAACTTTTTTGAAAAAAACATAACTAATTAAAAATATATTAAATTTAAAATTTATAAAAAATACCCTTAAAGTTTAGTACATTACAAATTACCCCTGCAAAGTTTGAAAATTTTCAATGATTTTTTTGTAATTTCTTGATTTCAATGTAATGTTTAATAGTTTTGTATGTTAATAAATTATAAATTTTAGAGTGTTTTTTAAAACTTTTTAAAACTTTAGAGGTTGTTTATTTTATAGTTTTTTAAATTTTCATTGTGTTTTTAGTGTAATGCATATATACATCAATTAATGATGATATTGAAGAATAAATCGTTCTTAAGATTATTAGACCGTAGTTAAGTATGCACATCACTATTCCTAGTTAGTATAGTTTATATGTGCAAAAATTTTCAGACAATCTATGTAGTGGTTAAAAAGATTTTGAATTTAATATACTATTTTTTATAAATTATATTTAGTGTGAACCCACCATATAATTTTGACTATGGTCATTATAATTTTAATGTGTTTGATTGATTGACTATATACGTATATAGACCATAGATTAATTTATTTTCTCACATGAGCTAACATTTTGTGCTTAATAATTTAATTTATTACTTTTAAATTCAATATAAAAAGGAGCTCTAATAATATTTTTTATTTACTTACAGCATAATACAATCTCAATTCCTATTTTTTACTAGAGATTTATTCCATAGTTACGTGTATCAAATTAGTAATTAAAATAATAATTATTTATGCTTAAATTAGGATGATTATAGTTGGTCACTCACTATGAAATTTTATTTATGCTTAAATTAGGATGATTATAGTTGGTCACTCACTATGAAATTTTTATGAAGATATATACCTTACTTTCTATAGCTATTAGGATGATTATAGTTGGTCACTCACTATGAAATTTTTATGAAGATATATACCTTACTTTCTATAGCTATTTGCACTGCCCATGTATATTTTATAAATTATTTTTTAATTTAACATAATAAATTACTTTTTCTTTGTAGAAATTTCTTCTTTGACTTTTAGACTGTGTAATCATTATATCACCATTCTAGCATAGAAAAGACTTCACTCTAAATGGCTTCTAGCCAATGTTTGAGTTGCAGTGAAGTATATAATATTGTTACTATATGTATATATTTTTTAAGAAAATTATGTCAACACGTTTTAAATAGAAAAGAATATTCTAACCTCTGATATTATAAAAATTAAATACGACCAATTAAATGATTAGCAAAAGAGAACTTACATCAAAAAAATATGAATAACAAGATAAAGAAGAAAGGTAATAACATTACCAACAGTACTATAAATAGCAAACTACAATGTAAAGTTAACCTATTTTGTGGAGCCCAACTACAGGCTATAAGCATCGAGATTTCCAATATATATACTTTAGAATTTATTAAAAAAGTTCATATAATCTTATATAATAAAATTAATTTAATATTAAATAGTAATATCATTATAATAATATCATTATTAGAAAAAATTCTTCATGAATTGATATGCTCTTTACGATATATAAGCTATGCACTCTAAATTTTTATGTCTTTTATAGAGTCAAAAAATTTGAATACGAGCCTTTAACATGTTGCTCTAACAACAGCAAAATCCACTTAGGAGATATGGATATTCTAGATGAGTTATGTATCCTATATACAATACAATTGCTCTAGACAAGTGAGTTATAATAACATTTTTTATTCACATCGTTTGAGGTAAGATTTAATAGGGACCTTGCATCAAAGAAAAAGATAAATTTTTATTTTTAGAGCACATGACGAAATATATCATAATCTCCCTGTTCTAATTTCGTAAGAAAATAATTCTTCATACTTTTAATTTTACTTCTATGATATAGAGAATGAGCTTTAAAATTAAATGAGAATATTAGATAATATAAATATAAGCGAAACATCAACTAAAAGTTAATATAAATATAAGTCAAACTACAACTAAAAGTTTAAGGGACATATTGCAAGTAAATTCATATGCAAAATTCTTTTGCGAATTGAATGATCACCCATCTTTTGAAGACTTCAAGATACTAATAAATAGAGATGTTGTGTTTATAATTAACTCATAAATAGTAGATCACGTAGCCACAGTCTGGATTGAAGGAAACAATGATAATATTTTACTTGAGGGAGATTATTGAGTTGATGATCAATCTCACAAAAAAACTTTATTTTCTATTTTATTTTGCTCTTTTTTTATTAAAATTGCAAGTTTTAAAAGGGATTACACATGTGGTGATGACAAACGTGCAACAAGCTGCGTCGCTAATCCTTTATGAATTGCAAAACCCAACCTACGAAATACGTACTCAGCGGACCCTACTGTCGCCATATTTATTTTTACTTTATTTTTATCAATTTAAATAACCATAATATTTAACCACGTGTATTATACGTGCATCTCAGCTAGTATCCCTAAAAGTGGAAGTTAATAAAGATTTTGACAGTGGAAACTAGCTCCCGTTTTATAAGGAAAACTAGAGAGCGTATATTGCGAGAAGTATTTAGGAATTATGCCACCAGTACTCCCAAAATTTATTTTGGGAGCATTGAAGCTGTTGGCTTTAAATATATAGGTTATTTTCATATCTACCCCTTACATCGTAGGTATTTGCAAAACTATCCCCTAAACAATGGTAGTTGCAAAACTAACACTCAAATCATTAATATTGGGGAAAGAACCCCTAAAACCGAAAATAGTCATATCTGTGAGTAAAATTTTGACTACTTTTTAATAATCTTTACATTGCAGTTGCAAATTAGCCTATCAAAGTTGATAATTGATGATTTGGAGTTATTTTCTCTCCAAAATTGATGATTTGAGGGATAGTTTTACTGAGATGAATGATTGTTTTGCAAATAACCATGATTTAAGGGGTATATAAGCATATACACTAAATATAAATAAGATTGGATTCCAGTTGTAGCAAGCTAATGGAAACATTCATTTCGTTACATATACTTATGGTCTACATTTCAAAGTTTGCCACCCGAATAATTTATATATTTGTCATAGATGTCACCTTTACTAATACTAGAAAATAAAACCAGTATTCTTCCGTTAAATATTTTTGACTTATCTATGTTTCATTCAGAATTACTCTCCTCTATATCTGCTCCATGTCTACCGTAACCCTCAACGTAATTAATATAAGTGTAAAAATTAATTCCATTGGAAGAATCATCAAATTCTGTCAATAAAATTTAGAATTAAGTTCGAATTCTGAGATTTCAGTTGAATTTAAATATAAATAAGATTGGATTCCAGTTGTAGCAAGCTAATGGAAACATTCATTTGAACATCTCACTGCAGGAAGATTGTTCCCAAATTTTCCACAATATATAGTCATTACTACTAAATTTTAGAGAAATTACCATGGAATTTTCGTGAAGCCTTCTCTAAGAAAACAGAAACTAAACAAGATTTTATGAAGCTAGTCACTGATATCTTTATCCTGCTACTATGCTACTCATTGTTCTTCTTCTTGAGACTCTCCATAGTCTTCTCCAAGTCTGCATTCTTCTTCATTTCTCTCTGCAACTCCATCTTCAACTCATCCACAGTCTGCTGCAATCTCCCCACAACCCCCATCAACTGACTCTCTCTCCCCTCCCTCGCATTCTCATTCTTCTCACTCTTTTCATTCTTCTCTCCTCCACAATAAGCCAACACATTCATCACCATCCCTCTCTGCACATCCAAACTCCCCAAAAGATACACCAAATTCGGCACCAAACTCTCCTTCAAATCTTCACTTTTTTCCTTCTCCACTTCTTTATCTTGCTTGGGATACACTGGACTTAGTTCGAGAACATCCTCATTGAAATTCCATCCGCTCACCCTCCGAGTCTTAACAACTGGGCTCAAGCTCTCATCCCTGTCGATATTTGTAATTTGATCAGCAAATCTTTTCTCTACAGAGGGAACGACTTGTAGGATGTTTTTGACGAGATAATCAGAGGATTTGCAGTTCTTGAAGAAGGGATGGCGAAGGAGTTTATCTGCAGTTGGCCTCTTCGAAGGGTCGTGAGAGAGGCAAGAAGATACCATGTCCTTGAATGCCTTTGAGAACTTCTTCTTCTTGGTGTCGTGAGTGTCTTCAAGCTTTAGAGGGTTTGTTATCCTCATCATGAAAGATTTGGATATTGGGAGATGAGAGAGTGGAGGGCGGCCATGGGCGAGCTCTAATGCTGTTATACCTAAGGACCAGATGTCGGCCTTGATGCCATAGCCGATATGGGAGTGAATGACTTCAGGTGCCATCCAGTATGGAGTACCTGCCAAGTGTACAGCAATTTTACGTTTAGCTATTCGTTCAAATTCGATTCAGAAGATTATTTAAGAAAAATGTTACATATTTTGGAACTTATAATTAAAGAAAACTGATGTGAAGTTCACATATTCGATTCGTTCATTTATAAAATATACATTCTTAATTATGTTCATTTAGTTTACGATATTTTATGTTGTTGTGAACGTGATATTTGTTATAATTGGATTATTCTTACATTTCTAATATATATTTTCATATTCTTACATTTCTAATATATATTTTCATCCTTATTTTGACAGAATTAAAGTTTCAAAAATTGAATCGTCGAATCAAATTTTCAAAATTTTTTATTTATCCTTCATTATCACAAAAATAATAATTTCTACATATGAGTTTAAAATCAAAATTTTAAATCAAACAGAAGTATTATATTAATCAAATGATTTCGTACCCTCAAAAGATGTTCAATCAAATAAATATATTTAGTACTGGATGAATATTAGAACGATACTTGTAGCAAATTCGCACTCATAGAAGAAAAATGGAACTCCTATACCAATCCAAAATGAAACATTTTGAATGAATATAGGTATGGACATAAATAAACCTGCCAACTCGGTCAGAAATGAAGAAGATGATGAAGACAAGGACGAAGAGTGAGATTCGTATATGGAAGCAGAGACACCAAAGTCTGCAAGCTTGACAGTACCATCTGAATCAACCAAAATATTTCCAGCCTTGATATCACGATGAATATGGCCTTGGTTATGTAGATAAGAAAGTGCAGTAAGAATTTCCTTCAAGATTATGGCAATACAAGGCTCAGAGAGTCCATCAGGAAACGAAGAAGAGATAATAGAGTGTAATGAGCCAGCAGCCATAAAAGGCATCACAACCCACAAATGACTGTTGACAGTGAAAGAGCAGTGAGCGCGAAGAATGTTAGGGTGAGAGAGGAGAGCCATGGTTTTTGCTTCACGACGAACATCATCAAGATTTGCACGAGAGCGTTCAAGATCAATGGCTTTTATAGCCACGACTGAAGAGTTTAGAGGGAGGCAGGCAGCTTTGTAGACGACTGCGCTAACACCACTGCCAATTTCATGGAGGATTTGATAAGAATTAGGTTTTACAGGGTATGTGATCTTTCTCACTTCTTCAGGAGCCATAGTTTTTGTTGTAGTAGAGTGAAAGGGTGTATCATGTATTTATGTTGGGAGTTTGTCCACTTTTTGTGTTGGATTGATAGCGTGGAGTTATAGGTGGCGGTATTGAGGCCTCTCAGGTGTTTAGGTATGCTTTCATGTGAATTAGTTTGTACTTTGATCGTGAAAATTCATGTGAAAACTTTTTAAAAGGAAGCTTTGAGTGATTTGATGATTTTGCGTAAGTTTTTTGCCTTTCCTTTATTCATAAATCAGTAAAGTGTGAAGCCTAACTTCATCATGAATATTAGTGCATGGTCAGAAAGTTCTATGGATGAAAAGTGCTAGAAAAATAAGGATATTGCTCCAAATTAACCACGTAAAGTGTCCATAAATCGTCCTGAAGAAACTGATGGAAACTTGTTTCCTACCAATATTATCAAGTGCTTAGTTTTATATATTCAGTGATTGTGTATATCCTGTGTTAGAATTAATATAAAACTATAATCATCGTTTCTCACCATAACTTCGGAGTTCTGGTTTAATGATTAGAGGAGCTAAATTTAAGATGGTATCGGAGAAACCTAGGTTCAAATCCCACCGGTCACGAATTTTAAGCGGATTTCCTAAAAATTGACACCGCTGCGTGAGTCCAGGTTTTAGCCTATAAAAAATGGCGTTCAACCTGCGGGGGCATGTTAGAATTAATATAAAACTATAATTCTTGACCCTCACCATAACTTTGGAGTTTTGGTTTAATGATTAGAGGAGCTAAATTTAAGATCCCGTGACATTACAAAGTTCAATTCCTTTCATTAGTTCTATACCGAAATGACAAAACTTGAGATGAACATGAATGATGATAGGCATGTTATATTAACTATAATCCTCGATCCTCACCATAACTTCGGAGTTTTGGTTTAATAGTTAATAGAGGAGCTAAATTTAAAATCCTGCAACATTACAAAGTTCAATTCCTTTCATTAGTTCTATACCGAAATGACAAAACTTGAGATGAACATGAATGATGATAGAATACATAATACTATAACCAATTTTTATTTTGTTAATAACTAGTTTCAATTATCAACAGTGTTATTCTGAACATGAACATACAATTAGCACAGAGACATATCTAGAATCATTTTTTTTAGAATAGCTATAAAATAGCATATGCATATATATTTCATCTTCATCAGGTAAACTCTGCCTAAAATCAAGGGATAATGAGAACCCTGTTAGAATTCAATCCAGAAACAAAATGAGGCAGAATGTATAACTATATCAATAACAAAAGAATAGTAAATAAAATAAATACTAGCTCATGGATCCTGCATTGGATACGCTTGGCAGAATCTCACAGCCTCTCAAAACCACTTGCTTGGGCCAACCGAACTTGTACGTGACATTGTATATTGTTCCCTAAAGATTCATGCCCGATATTATTTCCTATGCAGTTATCTTCGGATCGATGCCTGTGAAACCCTGAAAAAACATACCGTAAAATATGTAGAAATGGTGAAAATATTGGGAAAGTTCAGGAAATTTGAAACGGAAAGGCATTTGGGTGCTTGCCGGTCGATCGCGAGATTTGGCACGGTCAACCGCCAAACATGCACGAGTACAGAGTAGTTTCTGGAGTTCTGGTCGGTCGACTGCGAGGTTATGTCCGGTCGACCGCCAAACCCTATAATGGTTTTTTGAATTATGTCGTTCTGTCCGGTCAATCGCGAGATTTGGCGCGGTCGACCGCCAGTCGGGTTTGGGCCTGGGCTTTATTTCCTGTTCTGATTTGGTTTGTGTTTTGATATATATTAAAACACGATTTTAGGATTTTGTTAATCAGAGATTTGAGATTGTCTTGAGCATATTAAGAGGGAGAACTTATGAGCAAGTTGAGGGATTTGGTTTAGGGTTTATTTAAGTGATTTTGTGAGATTGTAACCCTTTGTACTCTCCTTGATTTAGTGGAATCTCTCCATCCTCTCCCTGTGGACGTAGGTAAATTTTCGAACCACGTATATCTCTGTGTTTGGTTTGATTTGTTGTATTTTGGATTGGATTGTGCTCGTGTTTGGTTTGGTTAATTTTCTCCCGTGACTCGCGGACTTGTTTGGTTGTCGAGCACGCTTCCACAAAGGCACACAACAATTAGTATCAGAGCTCAGATTTTAGATCTAGGGTTTTGGCATTAGGTGAAGGAAGATTCGTCGTGGAAGCTTGGTTCTTGGAGTTCTAGGCTTCAGTGGAGATAATGTTTAGGGTTGCCGTTGAAGATTTCGTTTTCCTCGTGTGGTTGGGAGATTTATTTTGGAATCCATTCTAGGGTTCAGTTGGGTAACTTCTAAATTCTATCAAGTTTGAGTTTTTCTCTACAATTTGGAGTTTGTGAGTATGAGTAAAGAAGTTGATGAAAGTGTAGGATCTGAAATAGATACACTTGAACACTAGAGGGGGGGGGGGGGGAAAATACAAAGAAAAATGGCAAACTCAGAAATTCACAATCACAAACACAAGGATTTTATACTGGTTCCACCAATCTGGTGTACATCCAGTCCCCAAGCAAATCCCGCTTGAGAGTTTCACTATGATTTTGAATAAACTTACAAAATCAAACGCAAACCTGACCAATTTGCAAGTCCCTGCAAATTGCAACACCAATTGACAAACACCTTGCCAATTTGAACACTAATCTCTAAACCAAGAGATTAACCCTCTCACACCCGAGAGAAATCCTTGTTGAAGCAAGAACACAATTGATCCTATAAGCCTTGAATGTGTAGTGAAGTGCAGCAGTGGCTTAGGATTCTTTTAACCTCTGTAAATTGCCTAAATGATATGTATTTGATGAATGTTTAGAGGTAATTTCAGAAACTTCTTTTTTTCACAAAATCTGAATGTTTTTCACTTGAAAAATTGCACAAAGATCAAAGCTTATGGGTATGTAAATCTCTGCAATTTTTCTGAACAAATAACCTATTTATAGCCCTTGAAAAGACAATTTTTTAAACTTTAAAAACGTTTAAAAACAGCTATAAACTGTCAGATATTCAAACTTTGAAAACTGAAAAAAACTGTATCTGTAGTCGACTACTGTTGACATTAGTCGACTACACTGAGTTCAAACAGACTCTGTGTTTTCGGAAAATTTTCTCAGTAGTCGACTACAAAGCTCATTAGTCGACTACACTGTATTTTGACAGAAGCTGATAAAATAAAATTTGAGTTCAGTAGTCGACTACTATTGATATTAGTCGACTATACTGTAAAATATCAGAAACTTATGTTTCTGTCAGACACTTGAGTAGTCGACTATAATCACTATTAGTCGACTATACTGTAAATTGACAGAAACATGTATTTGAGTTTTATACATTAGTAGTCGACTACTATTCTAATTAGTCGACTACTAAGATCAAAAATTCTGCTATAAGAAGTTTTTATAATCAAGTTTTAACTATAATTCTAATGGTTAACATAGGGGATTTCTATAGTTAACCAACACACTAAGCCTGTGTTAGCGTGTACTAAAATTGTGTGTGTGCGTGTATGTGATCAAGGCTTGTACAATTATTCTAAGTAAAGAAAATGTAAAATACATTATCTCTTATGTTCTTTATTTTCTTCACTTCAAAATGCCTTGAACTCAACTTGCACTTGTACATATTCTGATATTGAAATCTGCATATAAAAGTTAGTGCACACACTGTATAAATTGTTATTATCAAAACATTATCATGGAGATACGATATTCAACATTCTCCCCTTTTTTGATGATAACAAATAATTTATGCATCAGATTAAAACTTAAAATAATCATACTTACTCCCCCCTGCATATAATACTTACCCCCCCTGCATATATGCAAATTTTAGTTTATAACATACATAACTAAACTGTAACAGTACATAACAAAACATAAATATTTCTCCCCCTTTGTTATCAACAAAAAGAGTAAGCTAAACATGACATTATTTCTTCAACATGAGCTAAAACTTCAAACAAATCATCCAGGTTATGAACATAGTCCATAACTTCACCCATCCAAATAGGTAGGCAAAGACTTGTCATAAAGATCAAAAGTTCCACAATGTTCATCACCATGATCTGTTTAAAATATGTAGCACATGCATTATCTAACCAAACATTATCATAGAAAATAAAAACACATAATTAACATAAGCGACATAGTAGTAACATAAGAAACATATTACATAAGTCCTAACAACACACAACCACATAGTTTTTGAAAATTAAACATAATAACATAATTGTTTTGATAATTAACATAAAAACATCTTAAGGTGCTGGAGGAGGTTGCTGTCCTTGAAAATACGTATTAAGCTTTGTATCCAAGTCTTCAAACTTCTTGATTAGCTCTTCTTGATTACTAATGATGTATGAATTCTGTGCATATAGAGCTCTTTGACCAGTTTCAAGTTCAAGGATACGTGCACTCAAAGTGTTGTATTGCACGTCTGAAAAGCAAGATGGTTCTGTAGGAAATGGTGGTGGTTGACTTGAAGAGGCTTCAGCTTGAGTTGAGGATTGTGGAATTTCTTCTTGATGAGGTTCAGGTTCATTTTGAGCAGGTTCATTTTGAGGATTATGTTCTTGAATTTCAAAGTTTGTCAATTTCATCCTAGTTAGGGCATTTGAATCAAAAAATTCAATTGAACGGACAACAGAATTTTCAGATTTGAGATCGACATGGAATTTGTCAAATATTTTAGTTAGGAATGCACCATAAGGAAGAAATCCTCTTGGAATAGTCAGAAGATTGTCAAAATAAACCTCAGCCCAATTGACTTGAATATTTCCCATTATAGCATATAGAGCTTTTGCTAATTCTAGGGAAATGAAATGAAAACTTCCAGTTTTTGAAAACAAGTTATAGGCTAGAATACGAGCAATGAACCTAGGAATTGGACGAAGTTTATTTGAGTTATTTAAAGGTTTACCATGTCCAGGAAGAAATATATGATTAGATAACAGATCTGAATCATTCATCCTAACAGAGTTAA